TGAAACAACTGGAACTCCGGTCCGTTTGGCCTCTTCCCAAAGTTATTCGATTCAAGACATTTGTCAATAACAGAGTCTTCACAGAGACGACGACGTTATAATCGGCGTCGTTTTGGGAAATGATCCTTCCTCGTCGCAGATACAATATTTATGTTTACGTGCCATAATATGAAGAAGGGCCCCTTACCGAAACGTCTCCCATTACATTTTATATTCGTTAAAAATATATTCTGCATATTTTGCGCGTATACGAATGTTGATTTTTGTTGTTGTTGTTGTGCTTGTAAACCACTGCCAACGCAGCAGCAGCAGCAGCATCACCATCAATCTGGCTGTTTGTAGGAGGAGAGATTATTGCTGGATACAGCCACACGTGCACACGCGATTTGTAACTTTGATCGTTAGCAGTGTTATCGAGAGTCCAACTTCAGAGTGCCACTTTATCGAGGGACTACTGCTGCGCTGGTCTTGGTGTGGTCTGGGACTGTTTTATTTTATTTTATTGTCGCCAAGCTTGCATTTAGTGTTGAGAAACCGGACTAGCATACTGTCGTGTTTATTTCTTTATATTTCGTGACTTGCTTACAACAATGTTGCACGGCTGTCGATGCAGTAGCACCGCATGCGGTTGCAACTTTCTGACTCACCCCCCAGCACCCCCCCTCCCCCCGGAACCGAACATCTGTTAAAGACAAAGAGCTTCATAGCTCATCGGATTTCTCCTGCGGTCCCAATCAAGGTTCTGATTCTGAAACTATCCGGGCGGGCGGATGATGAGAGACATACAGTGCGGTCGTCTTGAGACAACCACGTGGGGAGGTTGCCCTCTGATGGACAGGGATAGAATTTGTCGATGAATCGACACCCCCTGAGTGCGTTTCCCCATATCGTTATCTTGTGACAAAATTCAAATGGACACCTGTATTCATTTATTTTCAGTAGTTTGCAATTCAGATGAAAAAAAAACAGTTTAATTATATGCATCCGTCATCCCTTACGTGAGCGACAAAGTGAACCCCCATGCCCAACCCCGAACATACAAGTCAAACTCCGCCGAATGCCGAAACGTTCAATTGTAATTTCATCAAGAAAATAAACACCATACTTTTCGATTTAAAGCTTTCGTGACTGCAGGGATTCATCTTCTTGGTTCTTTCGGTAAAGTCACGTAGAATGGAAATAATAAAATAATAAAAATAAAACATAATATTTTATTACGTTTTATTTTAATAAAATAATACAAATAAAACATAATATTTTATAAAGTTGAATTTTTATTATTTTATTATTTCCATTCTACGTGACTTTACCGAAAGAACCCAGAAGAAAAAAACACCATACTCTTTTTTTCCGGTAAAGTCACGTAGGTAAAAAAATAAAATTAAAATAAATTAAATCACGACGTTTCGGAGGCAACACAAGCTTCCGTCTTCAGGTGGCACCGTCACAGCAAAATTGCTGTATCAATGGACCCTTGCAGTCACGAAAACTTCAAATCTAAAATCAACACCGCCGTGCCATCTCTTAACATTCGGCTCCAAGCAAAACCTGTGACCATCTCCAAAATCATCTGCAACGTCGCCCGCCGAACTCGCCGGATCTCGGAAGCTAAGCAGGTTTGGAACTGGCGAGGAGTCAACAGAGACTGCGGTGCCGGGCGTGTGCGGCTTTGAGTGCCGCTAAAAGCTGGCGACCCGAGTTGGATTCCTCCCGTTCGCGGCTAACATCAAGCGACGATGATCTGAACATCGTCCTGCGGTTCTCCCTCCGTCGAGTCGGCCTCGAAATGAGTCGTGTGACCTGTTGCGATGTGTAAGTCAGCATCGCCGCGAGGGAGACAAAGGCGGTAACGCTGTAATATCACAGTATAGCAATGGTGTGATGATTCTAGATTTGAAGCTTTCGTGACTGCAAGGATTCATACTCTTAGGTTTTTTCGGTAAAGTCACGTAGGTAAAAATAAATAAATACAAAAAATTATAGAAATAATCTTAGAAATAAAATAAGGATACAGTAAATTTAGCTGTGACGGTCCAACCTGATGACGGAGACTTGTGTTGCCTCCGAAACGTCGTGATTTATTATTTTATTTCTATTATTATGTTTTTATTATTTTTATTATTAATTTTTATTTTTACCTACGTGACTTTACCGAAGAAAACCTAAGAGTGACAATGGTGTGATGGTCCCATTGAGCGCTGATTCGATGGGCACTCGCATCTCCAGGAACGCATCTTGAGCGCTAAGCGAGGTCTGCCTGTATATCAAATGAAAGCGTGCTTTAACCTCGACGTCAATGTGTCAATTGCGTTGCCCGTTAGCATCTACCTTCCGTCTAATACTGTATATGAAAATAGATGACTAATATTCCTGACCCTAGATGGCCTGCGTGCAGGTTAAAATACACAACGCGTCCTGGAACGGTACGCAGACCGCACACGTGACGTTTCCCAGCAACACGTGTGCAGCCTTGGAACCGAAAGTTGCATTCCACGTAGAAAGTTTTGGGGATTTTAACCAAAAGACTCGGGCGGATGGATATGACTGCGTACGTAGCGTGGACCGAAAAGAAACACGTGGATGGGTTCTGAAAAAATCTGGTGTTGAATGAAAAATGTTAAGAGGTGATGCAATGAAGAACGCTTAGTCTACTTTTTTTGGAAAAGCAGTTTATGCAAGGCACAATTGCGCTGTTCGCGTGCGCGAAGAAGACCCAATGGTGATATTAAAATCATGGAGGAGGCTCACGCTGGAACAGACAAATGAGGATATCAGAAGACAGGATTCAGTGGGGAAGGATTTCCCGTGGTCCGACCAACCCTCGGAGCGAGGATGTCCCAAGACAAGACCACATGGGGTTTATTTCACTGAAGGTGTGAAGAAAGAGTGGATATTCAAGGCGTTCGTCAAACAGCAGCGTCGCTTTAAAAAAAATGGCAATAGATATATCGAGGTGACGTTTCGGGCAACAGCCCATTTTGATAGCGCATAAGCACCACGTGATTACCACCGGCCGAAAACGTAGCCTTTTATGTGTTTTGTCTTCATTTTAAGGCCACAGTGTTATTGACGAGCGCGTTGAGTGTTGTTGTTATCGTTCATTGCCATTGTGCACCACTGCCAACGCAGCAACAACAGCAGCATCGCCATGAATGGCATTACGACACTTGTGAAATTAATTTACGTCTTGCCCATAACCACGGGTTCCCAAACTCTACCACTGTACTCACAACCCACGGCATCGCCTCTCATTCATATTCACCAGTCGCCTAAGTCTTAGTACAAAGTGCGTCGGGCATACGATGTACTCGCACGATGTTTGCTACACTTATCAGAACTCGACGGAGGGAGCGCTAAACATGATCTGCATTACGAGGGATTGTATTTACATACACACACAATATCGGTCTAAGTTGAATCAACGTTTCTCACATCACGTATGGCAAAACGAGAAAGATCCTCCTGTATACATTCTAGATTTGAAGCTTTCGTGACTGCAAAGATTCATACTCTCAGGTTTTTTTTCGGTAAAGTCACGTAGGTAAAATAATAATAATAAAATCATAATAAATGAAAGTAACTAAATTAAATCACGACGTTTCGGAAGCAACACAAGCCTCCGTCATCAGGTGTAACTGCTCCAGTAAAATTACTAAAAAAAAAATACTACTAAAATTATTGCTTCACACGCTGCAGTAATTTTACTGGAGCAGTTACACCTGTCTTCTTGGTTCTTACGGTAAAGTTACGTAGAAGGGAAATAATAAAATAATAAAACATAATAGAAGGGAAATAATGAAAAAAACATAATAAAATAAATGTTTTATTATGTTTTATTATTTTATTATTTCCCTTCTACGTAACTTTACGGTAAGAACCAAGAAGATGAATCCCTGCAGTCACGAAAGCTTTAAATCGAAAAATTCAGTTACACCTGGTGACGGAGGCCTGTGTTGCTTCCGAAACGTCGTGATTTAATTTATTTATTTTCATTTATTATTATAATATTTTTAACTACGTGACTTTACCGAAAAAACCTAAGAGTATGGAACTCCGGTATACACCTTAACTGACTTGGGGCAAGTGCTGTCAGCACGGCATACGAGGGGAGTTGGTGACCAGCAACCACACACGACCGCCTTTGTCTCCCCAGCGCTGATGTTTACACACATTCCACAGCTACTCATTTCAGGCTGAGTGGACCGAGGGGAGGTCCAGGACCGGTTCAAATATTCTTCATTGTTATTGGCCGTGAGCAGTTATCGAACTCGGGTCGCCGGGTTCAGTAGCACGGTGTGCTAACCACTGCACCACGCCCCACTACACACACAATCCAGCGTGATGCAAAAATGTTTTAACATTTCTGATAATTTGCAACAACACCACGAGAAATGTGCCTCCAGGCTCTGGAGACCACCTGAAGAAGATTCCACGCACGCGTTGACAACGATGGCGAGCAGGTGGAGACTCTTTGACTTTTTGAAGCTATTAACATTTACATTTGTTATCATGTTACAGTCTATTATCCGTAATTTTCCATCAAAAGCGATAATCCCATATGAGTGTTACAATATTTTGAAGCACCTTGCATTTATACGGTATCTTAACATTATAAACTAGTATAAATCACTAGCGTCGTTGCAAAAAAATATCAGTATATACCGAAATATACGTATTCATGTATTAATGACTTAATTCGTGATTTTATTTTAACCATTCCTCTTCTACGCGCCACCGCGTGCAGCGTGTTTACCAACTATCAGGCGCGTGCAGCGTGTACACGACCGAACTTGTATGCTTGTGAACGGGGGAAGTTGGGCACCATTGAAGCCGATGCCCATCACGTTTGGTGGGTCAAAGATGCCTGGAATTTTGAACAGCAACAAAACAGAAATGCTGCCCCGACCAGTATTTCAAGCCTCCAGCCACATGGGAACGGGGCGTTCTCGAAGTACGGCCCCTGCATCTACCTATCGCTCATCACGCCCACGGCCACCCATTTAAAATCCCACTGTGCGCCGGCCTAACACGCCCTCTTGGGGGGCCGGTATAAAAGAAGAGCGACCGTCAGGTCCACCACCACCACCTTTCTTATATTCGTCAGCAGCGAGCGCCGAATAATCATCATTATCAACTACTACTACTACCACCACCACCATTATCATGGGATCATTGGTAAGTTTCAGCGTCTCTTGTGAACGGTTCTAAAATTGAGTGCAGATCTCGTAAGCTAAGCGGCGATTGATCCTGGTGAGTACAATATTTTTTGTTTGAATGGTTAAGCTGCCTGGGAGTAACAATGTGTGGTTAGGTGAGCATTGGGGGGCTGTGGGTTTGAATGGCCATTACTGGGTCATAAGTGTAGTGTGCGTTGTTGGCCTTCTGTTGTTTCAAAATAACATTTGGGTGCAATTCTCGAAAGTTAAGCAAAGGCCGAGCCTGGTTAACGCTATGCTGAAATGTGAATTGCAGGGTGTGGTTAGCTTCGGGCTGTGGAGTGGCCATTCCAGCAATGCGTGCACAGATGATCATTAGGTGTGTAGAGGAGCTCTTGGGCTAAGCCACTCTCCACTCTCGTGATAGAGTTTCTCCGGGTACTGCAATTCTCACGCGAATCCAAACGCCCATGAATGATAATGGCCCAACATCGCAATGTGGTGGAAACTTGAAATGTTGATTGAAATTGAGACGATACTATGGATTGATAATTAAAACAACGAATAGTAAAACAATGAATGTACGTCATGTATTGATCCCCTGCTGGAAGAAGGCCTCTGAAAGCCTTTTGGTTGTTATTTTTTTGTCATTTCACCATACTAGTCAGTGCGGGTTTGTAAAGGGTGGGTTTCGGACCGGTTCAGTTGTGCATTCACCACTGATATTAGCCGGAGCTAGGAATCTGCATGTCTGGGTCGTCACGGGTTCACTATGCAGTGTTGTTAACCACTGCGCTACCGCTCCTTCCATCAATACGCATTTCGTTGCCTAGACTTTTAAATTACTGTAAGATGGACTTTTTGTCTTGGCTCAATTAGCCGTGGCCGGGAATCGAACTCGGGTCACAGAGTTCACAGCACAGCGCGCTCACCGCTGCCCATCGCCTGCAACGCATTTGCCTGAAAAGTTAAAAGCAAATCCCCTTCGCGCTCCACTTTTGTCGCGGAATTCGTCATCGAAACACCGCGGATTAATGACACAAAACGTGCAGCCAACCAATGAGAAATTACTCGTGATGGTTCCGCGGAACGCGATGCAGTTCCTGCCGGACGGACAAGCTGTCTGTCGTGCGACCTCTTTTTCGATCATTCTAATCCGATCGCAGGACCAGCCCGGGGGATACTTACACGGTAACGATTAGCACAGTCGACTTTAAATCCAGATGCGGCCGGTTCGATCTCACGGTTACGACCGTCGAAACCTCTGCCTCCTAACTACCCTTCACCCACCCTCCTCGTCCGTGCCCATTTTGCCACTTCACGCATGTGCCCCATACCCAGCTGCCTCTCGTCCACGTTGTACCCATCGGACAACGCTCACTCACCTACACCTTCCACCTTTCCTATCCCAGCAACATCGGCTCCATTCCCAGCCCCGTCCCTCACTCCATTCCGTCACCTCCCTCGCTGACCGCCATCGGCTTGCATTTTAAAGCGCCCTGGAAAGGACGCTATATCCGAAATATAATAGAAAGCAATGGGCAAAATCATGAAATTCCCCCCCCACCTCCTTTGTCGACCCAGCAGTATAATAAATGGGTACACCACGGGCAATAATCACCGATGGCGAGTGGTGGGGTAAAGTGTAAAGTGTGGGCGCTCCCCCACCTCCTTCCAAGACGTCTGGCTAGTGTGGACGAGTAGGCCAAAGTCCCTCCTTTAGGAGAACCTTCCGCCGGCAGCGTGAGCGAAAGATGCTGAGGCTCCACTTTAACCTTTACCGGCCAAGAGCGGTCGGAGCCGTGAAACTGGAGAATCTCTAAACGCGTTATCGTGATCATGAGGCTTGCCCGTACAGTGCTGTTGTATAGGCTACCTGTTCATGCGGAAAAAAGCTGAAGGGGACGGGAATTAAAAGGGCCCTTTTTAAAGTTGGTCACTAGCCAAACTTACAAATGTGGAGTTGGGTAGAAAAACGTGAAATTCAAATACGGGTGTAATTTTCAAGTTGCTTTATCTCTATAGTAACACAAACCCCACCACTATGGCTGTATGTAATACGTCAATGGCTCGACACGGCCACCAAGGAGATTATCGCCATGCCAGCAGGGAGGAAAAAGTCGGTTTGAGCAAGTCTGACCCCTTACAATCCTTGGTGTGCAATGAAGAAAGGCCATTCCCCGAAACGTCGCCTGTTTATAAATTACCTATTAAGGCCACACACAGTTGTTATTGACGAATGTGAGTTTGTCGTTATACTGTGCTTGTGCGCAATTTACGCAAAATCATCGCCAAACGCATGTTTTTTTTTAAATCCTTTATAATATGTTCACTTGCTTGCTTAGGACCGTGCAAATCTTTCGGTCGTTTTTTAACCCACTTCCCGTGACCCAATCGAGCTGATATTTTCCACACAGACTCGTTGTGCGTGACAATTGATGTTCGTGAAATTTTTTTTCTAAAATGTTACACTTTTTAGGACAAAAATATTATATTTAATTACCAATTGCTTAATGGTGCAATGCAATCATCTGACCCATAGGTGGCAACCATCTCAAGCCAGAGGATGAGAGGACTCTAGCCGCCACGCATATAAAGGATTTATAGTGAAAAACTTTGTTTTTACGGGTTCTACTTGTTAAGTTGCTACTTTTATTATCCATTTTTTTTGTTCCCTCACCACGAGAATGGTGGAAACGCCATTAAATTCCCATCTGGTCGACAGAATTCCTAAACGCTTCTGGTCAGTCTGGCCGAGGGGTGACAACAGAGATTCCTGAAATCCCACCCCGTGGCTGCTTTGTCCACCCCCCTCCTCTCTCGCAGGAGGTGCCCTATGAGCTGCCGGTGGCTGATGCCGTGAACTTCGGGTGGTGCCTGACGGTGCGTGGAGCCATCTTGGACAACCCAACCGGGTACCACGACCTGCCCCCCACCCACCTTCCCCCAAGCTTACGTAACACAATTGCACAGTTTGTGTTACAGATCGTATTGCGCTACAAAGACAAAGGTGCCCCCGTGTAGCCTCAACGTAAATGCTGGGGCAAGTGCTGTTGGCGAGCACCTGACGAAAGCAGAAACGGTGCACGAAATGGGTGGTTGGCCAGCAACACACCCGGCCGCCTTTGTCTCTCCATTGCTGGTGTTTGTTCACACCGCACCGGGTGCTCATTTTAGGCTGAGTCGACCTAGGGGCGGCCCAGGACCGGTTCTGATAATCGTCACTGGTGTTGGCCGCGAGCGGGAATCGAACTCGGCTTCATAGCGCGGCGTGCCAACCGCTACACTACCGCTCCCCACACGCCCTATACACGCATGCACACACACACACTGTATTTACCGTACACAATGTCCTATTGCGAGGGGCGTAACGCAGATGCAGACATAATAGCAACGTCCCGAGGTGATTAAGGTGGGAGGGATGGGGGGGCTGCCACTACCACCCACCCCCTCCTTTGGATCCACACCTGACATCATGATGCTCAAGTAATGAATACCAATTCTGGAAATGGCGTTACTTTCGTCGTCAAGAGTTTGTTGTTTGCCGTAACGCAGGTGTACTGTGCCGTGTGCAAGGAGCCGAGTCCCGAAACGCCGACGGAATTGAGAACCGCCACTTTTTTAATTGGGCATTGGCGCACGAGAAATTAAAGACTCCCCAAACGTATTTGCACAACCGCGATCTAACCCAAAAAGCTTTATTGTGAATATTGGTCGCGAAAGCCGAGGCATTACACTGAGCATGTGATCAACTTAACGCACATCGTATGCCTGGTATATATGATGAACTTCTTTTGCACCGTACGTAGTCAACCATGCCGATCGGAGGTTCTGAGTAAGGGCCACGAGCTGAACCTAAAGCGGTTCTACAGAAATGAGTTTTCAATTTGGATTGAAAAGTGCATAGCTCCAGTGGCGCACTGTAGTGCTATTGCAAGCGTAAGGTGGCATGGAGCATTCTACAAGATTTGGAATCGGTTGGGATTTGTTCTCCTTAAATTTCGATACATATCCATTGGAAATAATCTATGGTGTGTGAAAATCTCCCCAATGTCATCCGAAGGAATAAAAAAAAATCCACATGCATTGAAAATAACCAATTTTTCATGCACACGATTCGACCAATTTTAACAGGATTTTAATCAGAAGTAAGGAATCTGTTTTGATTGCATAATACGGCACTTCATTTCTCACCAGATCTATTCTGGAACGCCGTTAGTGGAGCGAGGTAGTTGGCAGATGGTTAGCAAAAGGCCCAGTAAAGGTGGACCGTTGGGCTAAGGGTTTCCAACCACATCCCAGCATAGGCCCAAACATCTACTTTGTGTATGGAGGATGTGGGGTGCCGGATGCGAAAATATTTTCCAGGTCACGTATCCAGCTGAAACGACCCAGGCTAATTGTTTCGACTATGTTTGAATGTATTCTAAAAAAGTATTTTTTTGTCGACAACGACCGTCTGTCGATGTCGTCAGATTCACGCTGAACCTGCGCACCGCCGACGGGAATATCGCGCTGCACTTGAACCCGCGCTTCCAGGACGATGACGCTGGCCGCGTCGTCGTCCTCAACTCGCAGCTCGGCGACAGCTGGGGCTCCGAGGAGCGGCCCGGAGTGTTCCCGTTCTCTCCGGGTGAGCCGTTCGAGGTGAGCTCAACGTTAACGCTTTCACACGTTTGTTACGGTGTGTGTGTGTGTGTGCGCGCGCTGTTGTGGAGTGACTCATGCAGCCAGCTATGGCTGCAGGGTTTTGGTAGTACATGTTGTTTATGCCATTTATTGTGAAAATTCCGTCAGTTCCTATGATTGCTTTTTCATTGCTTTCATAGCTTTATTTTGGTGATTTCGAAAAGTGTATTGGTTTAGCCATGTTTGTTTGTTGTACAGAGTTAGACTGATGGCCTTAATCTAAGTTGTCTTGTGGTTGTTGTTGTTGTTGTTGTTTGACTTGCATCCCACTGGGATTTTTGCACACAGCGTTGGTGTACGGTGTTTTTTCTGCAATATTTTGCTGTCTTTTCTTGGATTTTCTGTTTGCACTTAGTCACATATTCACTTTAAGATGTTTTTTGTTTGTTGCGGTTGCACCCGATTCAAGAGCCGAATGGCTCACAGGGCCATACCTAATAAATTAACTTGTATGTCTTCATCAACCACGGGGGAGCGGTGAGTGTGCCGCGCGACTCGCGTTTGATTCCCACTCACGGCCAACATAAGATACTATCTGAACCGGTCCTGGACCTCCCCTAGGTCGACGCGGCCTCAAATGAGTACCTGGTGCAATGTGTAAACATCAGCCCTCGGAGACGAAGGGGGCTGGGCGTGGTTACTGGCCACCCACCCCCTCGTGTGCCACGTCAACTTTTGTAGATGCCACTACTCGCTAACGGCAGCACACTCGCCCACAACGCTGTCTTCGTAGGTGAGGCTGCGGTGCTGCGAGGACGTGTGGCGCGTGGAGGTGAACGACGTGATCCCGCTGTGCGACTTCCGCCACCGCGCCGAGGCCTCCAGCATCACCGGCGTCCACATCTCTGGCGACGTCTCCCTCTCCGCCGTCGAGACTTCCTAGGGCACCCCAGTGGGGAGACGGCAGCGCTCGCTTGACGCTCTGCGTCCGCGTGGTGCGGTGGTCTCGTCGCTGTCATTTTCTGATACCTTTGGGCCCGATCTTAGTGGGTTTGTAGAAATGCGGTTGAGTTGGGGGGGGGGGGGGGGCTTTTTTTGTAAAGCCTGTTTTGGTGATCTCCACCAAAAAATTTGGCAGGATTATTTTCCACTGCAATATGAAGCAGCACCCGATTGTTTTGCTTTCTGCTTGTATCGGGTAACTTCTTTGAGCCGAAACAATGCAAATTTTGTGATGTAATCTCTCTGCTTGCTTCACTTTCCTGTGATCACCGCTGGCAATGTCAGCATCGCAGGAGGTGAGCCCGTGGGGTCGTTCGCAATGCCCTTCTGGCTTAACGCGAGTGGCTGAACGTTCCACCCCGCTAGTGGCACTGCAGTACCGACACATTGATAATTGCGGAGGAAGGTTGAACGGCTCGAGATTGTTGTCGCTGACGAGTGAATGCATTTTTTTGCCGTTGCTTGGCAAGGGAAATAAATTCGCAAACTGCTCCAAATGTGCGGCGTGGTCATTGTGGCGCGCGAGATTTATTTTCAAGTCTCTCGCCGGTGCTTCGTCTGCCCGAGATTGCTCCGTCGCGTCCGGTGTTGTCCGTCTCGTCCATCGCGTCCTCTCCCCCGGTTTGCTTCGAGCGTTTAGCCCAAGGGAAATATTGGCAACATTTATCACACACAAAACAAGAGTGGAGTTTTGCATCCACGCTTGAGCATTCGAGAACCTCCTGAACCTATCGTTCTTCTCGTGACGCTCCACCTCGGCACCGCCCCCCGTAGACTCCGCACCGCCCATACACATTCAGCAGACTCTCTAAACCCCCTTTCACGCCTCTCTTAAAGCCTCGCCTCTTCGCCATTGCTAATTTTTTTCCCTCCCCTCACCTTTCCTCCTCTTCCCTGCCCTGTTGACCCCTACGTGCCCTCTGTTCCGGTCACTCATTCTTCGGCTCTTGCACTGCCCCTGCCATCTAAGTCAATATTGTGTTGCCGAATTTTGAAACTGTTTCAAGTGCCTTGAGGTATGGTGCTCTAAATATTATAAAGTCAGATTCTGATTATTTGAATCTTCGACTATTGTTTCACGCCTGCTGTGAGGCAACGGAGGCTCGCCATAGCCTTGCAGGTACACTGTACCGATAATTTACTGACTGAACCAGTTTCCATCTATGTTGCGGAAACAAGGGCCAGTTTAAGATATTTTTTAAAATGTACTTCGTTTAAAAGTGACTGCATTAAACGTGGTACGGGAGCATGCATAAAAAAACCCACATCGACAATGGCTTTATAACGGAACATGCGCAGCGTAGGCTGACATTTCGAGCAAATGTCCTTTTCGTGACCAATAATGCGGACATTTATTTATTTCAATCCTAATCTCCAGTTCCTTGCATTGTACAATCGTCAGCCATGATCAATCCACTGCTGACTAAAGGCCTCCCCAAGGCATTGCTCATGGGTCTGCGATGGAATAATGCAACCAAGAGCAGAGCTCCCCACGTGATTTTGTAGATGTCCCCTTGGATGTGTTACTAATATAATAGCAATTGCCAAAAGGACAACACATTCGGAAACACTAAGGCCTTTAAAGGAAAAATGATAGAGGCGATGAGTTGGCCAATTGCCCTTCTTAATAGCACTTAATCCGATTCTTAGGAGATGAGGTGGATATGGGTCGGAGACTGCACGCTTCACCGTGGGACCCGATGAGAATAAGATTTTTAATGACACCAGTTTTAAAATCGGCAGGATTATTTACCCGATATTAACGATTGAATAATGCACAAACCCTTAAAAAAAGTGTTACGATATAAACTCCTCTAGATTAAAAGTAACATGATTAAACGTTGCTGTTGTGGTGCCACAGCGACGGGGCCGCTCTGCCGAGCCAGGGAGCCGCCCGGCTTCCCCCACCGCACTGCCCCCCCATCACCCCCCCCCCCCCCCACATAAGCACACACCCGCACGCATTCCCCCCCCCCCCCCCATAGATCTGGAAGGGAAGGTTACCTGATCGACCGGTTTTTATCCGAGAGACCCTTATCGGGATTAATTCTCACGGTTTCCGGCGATCAGGGAATTGGATGACCTCCCCCGTGCTACGTGGCACCGCGGCGCTGCGGCCGGCCTTAATATGGTGTGGTCGCGGCGTGGGGCATTTGGCCACCGCGGTTGAGGCGCATTTCCCCCCACACACGCGAGTATCGACGGGGCAGGCAGAGGGAATAAGCATTGTGATGGAGGAGCTTCATTAGAAAACACGCAGGCACCATTATTAGGGGAGTTAAAGGAGAAGGCTATTAGTATGAATAACCTGGAGAGCGGGGTCACGCGGGCAGCCGTGCACAAATTCCCACGGCGCGCCTTTGTGATGGACACCGCCGCATGAACCTCGATGACGGGGGCCTGCGTGAGAAAAGGATTGATTGGAATTTGCGCCGTGCAGGTCGCTCATTGATTAGCGGAACAAAGGCACCGCGGAGCTGCCTGGCCCGGGCGAGGGGGGCGCGTGCCATTGTTTGGAGTTCACGCCGCGCGGACAACGGATTAATTAGCATAGCGAAGGCGCACGATGCGTGGGAAGGGGGTAGAGGTCCGGGAATCAGGATAAATGGAGAGCGTAGAGGGGAAATCGCTCTCTTACTCCAGCGCCAGGCGACCAGACGCAGCTCCAGCCAGCGACCCGGACGTCCGTGCGACGCACCGAGGCGCGCGGTGAGCACAAGGATCAGCGGACCGCCGTGGACACTTAACAGTGAGTAAGAAGGTGAATTAGAATCATAGCAGATAAATCGGGAATAGGTATAGAGGTATCAGCGTAGGCCAGCCTCGTCGACTCACTGATTTAACATCTAGTTCCAGGTAGCGGATAATAAATCATTAATAGCGAAGCGTGGTCTCGCGTGATCTTGTCGTGCAGCGTGAGCGTGTGGGTGCGCGGGTGCACACAGTGGTTCGCCACGTGAGTGAGCGCTGCGCAGAGCTGAGCGTGGGTGAGCGTGTGTACGCAGTGGTTCTGTAGTGCTGCGGCTCGCCTCGGGGGAGCGCTGCGCAGAGCGGTGCGAGAGTGGGTGTCGCGTGTGTTCACTCCGTGTGTGACACAGGTGCACGATCATAACGCGAGTAGTCAGTGTGGAGTTGGAGTGCACGGCGCGGTGTGTGTGTGCGTGCATACGTTCGTTACGTGTCGGATATGGATGCGCATTGGTAACGTGCCGCACAGGGCTATACTGCGAGCACGGCGTTTGATTGACGATGATGTGCGCACGTGTGCTCGCAGCGTGGGAGCGCGGCGCGAGGCTGTAACAGTAGGGGCGTCGCGTTCGAATGCCGGCGAAACCGTAGCGGGTAATAGGGAGGTGGGGTAACGTAAACGTATAGGGGGATGCAGGCGGGAGGGACCCCGGGGGCCAACGGCCCCCACACTGTCACATTTCATTGAGGACGAGGCACAATGCACTTGGCAATATATTCCTGGGCCCCAATAATTTCAATGAAATAATAACTGCGATGCAATTCACGAGGCGGAGAAATCTGAGAAACGAAACGAGGCACGCGAATATGAATCCGAAAATAAAGTGACGCTCAAAGGGATGTATCAATAAAACCACTAGCGTCGTTGCTTATAGATTCTGACATCGATCAGCAGCCACTGTCTCCTTGTCGTATCTGTACCTCCACACATTAAAGTATCTTGCACTCTCCAACACACCGGCGTGCTGTACTAGTGACGAATTGGCACGTTCGGTTTATGCGACAACCCTTATTAGACTGAGACCTCCTTTACCAGTGGCAAAATATAGTGATAGGTTTTTACCCTTTCAACTGGTACAAAAACTGACACCTTTATACAAGGCATCATGTTTGCAATAACCACAACACAAGCAGTCAAAATGAAAACAAAAAGAAAATCACAATAACCCTTATTAGTTTGCATGTGTCGGTTAGTGGTGGGTTTAACGACACATATTTTACGCGATCTAACCCAAAAAAAACCTGCTGTGGGTATTGGTCGTGAAAGTCTACGTGTTAAACTTGCAAACCCGTTTGCCGCATGGCAATCTGGGGGTGGGGGGGGGGGTGCAACATTTCACCAGCATCGGTTCAACACGAACAACAGGCTCTGGACCCGTCTCGACATTTAGTGTCTCGCCACTCGTATCGTGAAGAGAGAGGGGGGGGGGGGGCCTTTGCCTGTACGATGGGCAGTTCATCAGCATTGATTAAAGTAAGGCTGACTGCTGATGAGACACTGTCACCACCACCATCACGCATCCATCATCAGCTGCCACCAAGGCTGACACAGTCGGGTTTTTTTACAATCGGGTTTAATTGTCTTTTTATATTAAACCCGATCATCTGAGATTGGGAGAATCCGGTTTAATTGGTTAAAAAAAAACCCGATGCCTGCCGCTGGAAAAATCGGGTTTTCTCCACCCATGGCTGCTACCACCACCACCAGTGCCTGCGTTGTGTGGATACTATTATAAATACAAACCACGTGGCTTTTTGCGTCTCGCAATATGGTGAGTCCGTGGTAAGATGATGTCACTGCTGCCCTCCCTCGTGCTGTTTAAACGCGATGACGTCATTGCATATGGGAGCACCGCCCAACGATGGAAGCGCGCGCCTAGGCAACGGTCGCCACGGGAGACGGTTGCTAGGAGACGGGAGGACGGGCTCCCATTGGACGAGACGCACGTGGTCGCCTCAACGAGTTAACGACTTGAACGGCCGCATTCGGTGCGTGGATGCACACCGCAACGTCGCTGCAAGCTCTCGTACGTAAACTTTACGATTATTTTGTTTAATGTAACGTTGAATTTCGCTTTGGAGGTAGATAAAGAAGTGATGTTGAGATTGGCGATAGTTTATATCGGGCCGTGAAGTGGTGACGGCCAAAGTAAATGTTGAGTATCGTACGATCCATGGGCTAGAGGCATTGCACTTGCGCTACAAACTCCGTCATCTGAGTTCGCTTCTTGTCCATGGCTAATGTCAATGTCCCCATCAACAACCCGCATTGACCATCGTGGTGAAGTATGGTCAAACAACCCCCAAATTGGTGCGGGGGAATGCCTTCAATCAGCAGTGGGTTGACATTTGGCTCTAAAGTATGTAATTTAATTATGTTGTTGATCGTGATTTCAGTCATGAGTGAATTCGCGTGTATGATGAGACTAAGGCTGATGATGAATTAGTAAATATATACTTAGAAGTTCTAGATTTGAAGTTTTCGTGACTGCAAGGATCCATACTCTTTGTTTTTTTTGGTAAAGGCACGTAGGTGAAAAAAAAACAACTAAATTAAATCACGACGTTTTGGAAGCAACACAAGCATCCGTCATCAGGTGTGACCGCTCCAGCAAAATTACTGTAGCGTGTGATTGCCGCTACAGTAATTTAATTGAGTTGTTTTATCTGTATTTTATTTTGTTTTCACCTACGTGACTTTACCGTAAAAAAAACTAAAGAGTATAGTAAATATATACTTAGA